TGAAATTTTATTTCTATAATTGCAAAAAATGGTGAATACTTTATTGGCATAACAATGCTTGAACAGCCACTCTATTTCGTGAGATACTGTGTGTTTATTCAAAAATTGAAATGTAAAATACGTTAAGCTTATAAGAGAGATTAACTGAAACTTCGCGATTAACAACTTCCGAACATCAAGATAACGACGACATTTAACATTTCAAGGGAAAACCATCACCATAGACAGCAAAAGTAAACAGTGACATCGGATATCTCTCCAAAGAGTGTTTAGGTACAACATATTTCTCTTCGTGTACTTTTGGTGATATGATAAATAGTTTATTAGCGTGAGCTAACAATGGAAAAATAATAACATTTGATATATTTGAAATTAATAACATAACTATCATCCTAATATGATCACCATGAAACTATTCGAATTTTTTTTTTATGGCAAATTTTGATAATTTTTCATTTTTAATCATGTGTTATCTAAAACTCCCATGTGCATTGCCTTATTTCTGAAATTACGCATCAAAATTGTCACTAATTGATCTTTCCAATATCTATGTGGTTTTTTTCATTCTGCAACTCATAACTTATATTAAGAGTTGCGAAAACGTGACGACTTGTTACATGCAATTCATAATTTGTTTATTTCCAGATCAACGATTAACGATAAATGTCATTATATTGATGGCTTTCATATGAGTGCAATACATCAAAAAGTGTAGCATATGCAAACAGACTAAAAAATAATGTTGTTAAGCAAATATAGAAATACAGATCATTGATAAATTTGTGTTTATCAAAAATCTTACGAGGGGTTATGTTTAAAATATGAAAATATAAACATAAAACTTTTTTCAAGTTGGTGCGTCTGTTGCGCTTTTCTGGTAGCACGGTAGTATTTGCATTCCAGAATTGAGGTAGCTCTTTTGTGTACCCTACTTAAGTCAATGTATGTGAACAGTGTGATTGGACAAAAAATACAGTATCAACTGAACATACTTTCCCAAACTGAAGGATGAATCAGGTGTAGAAAAATATGAAATAATTTTACATACAGGTGAAAATGAATTTTTGAGAATTTTTTTAAATTTTGTATTCACTGCATGATAAAAGACCTAAAAGCACTAGTGGCCTTAGGTTTTAAAAGATATCAAAAAAAGTAAACGGTCATGATACATATTCAAATTCATCTCTGAATAGAATAATAAAAGTACTTCAGTTAACTGTGTATGTCGAATTTTTGGAAAGAAATTTGTTAGAAAGTGGTGAAAATTCTAAAAAGGCTACCATTATCCCTTATGGGCCAGGAAATACTACCGTGCCCCCTTAACTAGGATAAATATGTTTACACTAAATCAATAAAGGTATTTTTTTTTACCTATTCAATTTGTAAATTTATCAATAAAAAGTTGATTAAGGGCAACTACAATAAAAACAGACCTTAAATTCCACCCCTGGGAGTGAAAATTGCTGATTCAGCAAATTTTGCCTGATCTGTGGGTAATGATGGAAACATTTACCTAGAATGTAGAACTTCATTATTTTTATGTAACTTGCAATACATTTTTAATTATAAATGTTCGCTTTAACTTTTCGCAGTGTCTGACACATGTGCAACAACTGGAATTTGAGACGCGACATATTTTTGTTGCCTGTAGTCCTATTATTTTCACCGAAATGAATAAAGTGCATAATTTCTTATTTTTTTCCACACAAGTACAGCTATACTAGTTTTCTTCAGGTTTGATTTGTAGTTCTGTGGTAACATGACACCAGTATGAGCATTTTTTGAACCAGCAAGTGGTTAGGGGGTCCTTACTTATTCATTTAGCCCTCATATTTAGTTGAAATAGAGATAGCAATAGGGGTTTTCTTACATTGACAAGAAATTTTTTTTGGACGAAGAATGTGATTATGATTGTATATCAGCAAGATTAAATAGTTTATTCATTTTTCATGCAAATGTTATTAATTTATTTGATTTTCCGACCCTGAAATGCACAATAAAGCTAAGTTGATTATGTAAGGGGACATAATTTAACTTAATGCATACATGAGAAATAGACAAACAGTCAACTTAGAGATATATTCTAGTACATGTATTGTCAAAAAGATCTTTGAATAATAGTTAACTGCCATCTTTAGAGTCTTGTTATAATGCCTTCATAATCTGGAAATGCTTAAAGAAATGTAAGGCATGCTGTAAAATGTGGAATAGACTTTACTATCATTTTTCATGATTTGGTGCTTAAACTGTTTTTTTTTTATCAGTCAGATTAACTATAGATAGAGTTGGCAGTCCAATAATTCCTCCTGAATCACCATGGTTACTTCTGTGCTGATTTGAAACAACATGTATTTGGGTTTTGTTCACCCCTTAAGTAAAAATGTTCAGATGAAAAAAAAAAGTGAAAATCTGCCAGCTGGGGTAGGGGTATACTTTTTAATTTTTTTTTGTAAGAAATAAGTGCAGACTTGTATTCTTTATTGTAATATGTTTCCTAGTAAGAAGTCTATACATAATAGGTGTCATGACTGATTTCAAGTTTGTAATGTCTTGGTTAAGGTAGCACGGTAGTATTTGCATTCCAGAATTTAGGTTGCTCTTTTGTGTACCCTACTTAAGTCGATGTATGTGAACAGTGTGATTGGACAAAAAATACAGTATCAACTGAACATACTTTCCCAAAATGAAGGATGAATCAGGTGTAGAAAAATATGAAATAATTTTACATACAGGTGAAAAAGAATTTTTGAGAATTTTTTTAAATTTTGTATTCACTGCATGATAAAAGACCTAAAAGCACTAGTGGCCTTAGGTTTTTAAAGATATCAAAACGGTCATGTTACATATTCAAATTCATTTCTGAATAGTATAATGAAAGTACTTCAGTTAAATGTTTAAGTAGAATTTTTGGCAGTGTTAGAAAGTGGTGAAAATTCTAAAAAGGCTACCATTATCCCTTATGGGCCAGGAAATACTACCGTGCCCCCTTCTGGATTAACCTTTATCAAAACACTAAAACCCAATAATTGTGTTGTCAATATATATAAATACTTGAATACCTTGAGGAGCAGTTTGACCAAAATGGTTCTAAGAGAATATCAAAATCCACATTAGGTCAACTTTGCCAAAAGGAATTGGAACCTTTGTTTATTTAAAAATCCTTATTTAAAAGTTGTTAGATATAAGAAGATGTGGTATGAGTGCCAATGAGACAACTCTCCATCCAAGTCAAAATTTATAAAAGTAAACCATTATAGGTCAAAGTACGGTCTTCATCACGGAGCCTTGGTTCACACCGAACAGCAAGCTATAAAGGGCCCCAAAAATTACTAGTGTAAAACCATTCAAACGGGAAAACCAACGGTCTAATCTATATAAAAAACGAGAAACGAGAAACACTTATGAACCACATCAACAAACGACAACCACTGAACATCAGATTCCTACACGGATCTAAGATAAAAGTTATCATTCAAACCCTAGCACATGTTCAAGTACATGCATGTCCAAATTAAGTGAGCTCGCCAGTGATTGTCCTATTTTTGTATTGTTATATCCTTATGTTTTTCGTTTCAGTGAATTTTGCTTTAATGGCTTTTTTTTTATAATCCTAAATAAACCCTTTCACAACGTTTTTACTCAAACAAACAGTAACAACTTTTGTTGTCAGTACGCAAACCATTATTTAATGTTGAAATAAATACACATTTTCTGATATTTTTGTATCATCAATATGTTGTTTAGATAACTTTTTTTTTTTTATTTTATTCTAAAATTCTGAATACATTTTATGTTTATGCATGTATTATACAACAAAGGAAAAGAATAGCACATACAGAGGCCGTGCTAGGCTCATATATGTACAAGCCCTTATTAGAATTAGAATATGACAACAAAAGTTCTCAAAACAAACTAAAGAATAGTTACCAATTTGTACAACTTGAATACTACTTATGACATATATTCTATATAGCCTTAATGGAGTGTTGCTGCTCACAAGGAAGTATTATAGCAATAGTTCCTAGTGGAAAATTCGAAGTCATCCCTTCTATAATTTTACGGACGCCAGCACGCGTTGGTTAACCGTTATGGAATATCTATTTTACCGAAGACAACTGATAGATCTTATTGTCGTTACCACAATCCTGTCCATTCCCCGAATTCGTGTTGCTCAGTCTTTATTTTTCTATATTGTGTTTTGTAGACTGTTGTTTGTATTTTGGTCGTTTTTCGTTTTTTGCCATGGTACATGTATTATCAGTTCGTTTTCGACTGATGAGTTTGAATATCATTTTAGTTTCTTGCACCTTTTCTTCTAGGATCCTACAAATAATGGTTTTACCCCCATTATAACAGATTTGACATCACAGATGCAGTTTGAAGAGGTTTTCTGAAATTCTTTGCATAATGAAAAACTTCAAAACTGCATTCGACACGACGTTAATTCTAAAAAACGTCGCGGTCAGATGTTTAACATACATGAATTGATAATTGATGTTTACCGGGGCTTGTTAATATAATAAACAGATTGGCATATTTCTGTTAGAATAAAATCTGCTAGAATCAATAGAAGTATAGTTTACTAGTTATAGTCTATAGACGATTATCACAGTTCTTATTTTATTACGTCACATTAAGAGGTGATTGTTCGATAACGTTATTAACCACGATTGAACTTTGGTAAAACGATGTAACACATTCACAAAAAAGAATTCGACATTGGTATATACAATTCTTACTGGGGAAAAATCATTTAAAACTCTAAATCAAATATCAAAAGAACATTGTACGGTCATGATAAAATGACGTTAATCATTTCAATAAAAAACTTTTTTTTTATACATTACAAAATGAATAAGCCTACTGCCTATTAGTTCTTCTAGATATGAGTATAAATCAAACTTGTCATATCATTTGATACGCAAAGTATTTATAGGATAGTAGTGATGACGTTGTTTACATTTTTTATAGTTCTGATTGCTGTCAATTATGTTAACTGTGTGTAAAATCTCAACACCCAGTATAAGAAAAACGAGCATTTCTTAATGGTTAAGTTTTGCAGATACAGCTTTGTGCGGTTAGTAAATATTTGAACAAAGAACAAGTAACTTACGGAAATATGTGAATGCGCAATACATAGAAAAGTTATTTTCAGATTCTAAACAAAAGGTTCATTTTGTTTCTTTAACTGATTACGGGTGCATTATTTTGACATACATTTGATTTAATGGATTGTGTTTCCTAGTACAGTAACATAAAATGAGGATAACACTCTGTCAAATGCATTTTAGGTATAATGAACTATTGGATTATTCAATGTCAGCATATGCTACTAACTGTGGTAAGTATTTTTCTATAATATGTTATTCAAATTCAAATACATTAAAAGATACGATAATTTTGTTGTTATAAGAGTTTACACCATGATTCCAGATCTGTTCTATTGTTTTCAAAATTGAACAAAAAACAGTTCAGTACATTTTTCAGCATTTCATTAACCATGTTAACAAAATTATGAAATTACTTGTTTTTTCGTCAGGAATTTAGTTATAGTATCTATTTTTTTTTTTTTTTAAATAATTGTAAAGACTAAAAGAATCAATATGTATACATCGTCCGTAAATTAGAAAGAACCGAAACATTCCAATATAAGAACTGTGAAATAAACGACGGTAAGCAAAACTCCTTTTCAAATAAATGATTTACTGGGATTAAATGGCTGATCGTATTAATACTATGAATGTAACCTATATGCAATTATGTTGATGTTTTTTGTAACAATACTCCTGTGTAATTTACTTTTTTTCTTGATTGGATTTAGTGTAGTGATTGATACCCATGTCTTCAAGGTTGAATGTCTTCTAGAATTACAATAAGACTTATTGTTTGATGATATATTGGTTACACTTAATGTAACAATGCTTATTTATTCCATTGCCTCTACTCTCCTATTTAATTTTTATTTTTTATATATCGATGCAAGAAGAAAGATTGATATATACTTTGTCGATTGTATTAAATACAATATAAGAAATAAATGAACAATAAGAAAAGAAAAGAAAAGAATGTATAAGAAGGGAAGAATAATAACTCACCACATATTTTTATTGTATAGAATTTGCTCATTAAAGACCAATATAGCGTTCTGTTCGGTGGTTGGTTTGTTTTACTTTTTGCTTTTGGCCATGCTGCTGTCTCCTTCGCTATATAATATATAACCCCCCTTTTTTCCAGCCGCGGAATATTATTACGTCTTTGGTAAATTGTCATAAAAAAAGTTCTCAGACGTCAAAGATCCAAATGCATTACCAATATATTTATTAAACTCATTTTTTTTCTCGAAAACTCAGTCAGTTCGCAATTTGTATGAATCATTTGTTTAAACATTCAATTTGAATTCAATTATGTCGAATAAAAGAGCTCGTGCACAAAGACGAGTCACGCAGTAAGTATGACTTCAAAAACATGAAAACTGTGAAAGTAATAAATACACACGGAATTCATAGAATGCATTGAATTCAAAAGAAGAGTTAACATTTTGGATTCAATTGAATTATTTTTAAAAAATCATCAAAGATACCAGGCTTATACTTTTCTACGCCAGACACGCGTTTTGTCGACAAGACTCATCAGTGGCGCTCGAATCAACAAATGTAAAGACCAAATAAAGAACGAAGTTAAAAAGCATTGAGGACCATACATTGCCGTTAGGTTTTGCCAAATCACAGTTCTGAAATATTGTTTGGATGATAAAACCACTTTTAAGAGCCAATAACATGATGAAGAAAGTATATTGATGTTCATGTATAACACACGCAATTTATAAAGTGTTATTGTCTTTTTTATTAGTGCAGGTATGAAAAAAGATAGGAATGAAAATGCTCAGAATAGAATAAACTCAAAACGAAGTGAATATAAAATGTAAATGGAATAAGCATTTCCTGCTATACATGTATCCCCATCACGTGGTTCCAACAACACATCAATAGTATAATAAGTTTCATAGCCAAGAACATTAGAAATGTAATAGATTAAACCTAATAATCGCGACATGATATTATCAATGATGATTAATCGGTAGACAATATCTAGTTCTATTCATGTATAAAAATATTTCCGTACTCCACGTACTTTTTACAACAAAATTATTTTTATTTACTTGTATACGTTATTTTATTTAACGGCATTTTTTTTCAAGGTTATAGTTGTCCTTCTGATATTGTTTTACATCTCACCCCCTTTTTTATTAATTTTGTATTTTTATTGTGTCATAGATCAAATTTATTCATTCAGTGTATGTTTACTTGTTTATTTTGTTAATATGTCTTTTTATTGCGTTAAGCCATTTCAATTGATATTTTATAGTATATCTTTCTATGTTCAGACGTTACACTATTATTTCAGGTTAGGGTGAAGGTTGGTGCCTGTTAAAACGTTTAAACCAGCTGCATTTGTTTGCACCTGTCCTACGTCAGGAACCTGTTGTTCAGTGGTTGTCGTTTGTTGGTGTGGTTCATAAGTGTTTCTCGTTTGTCGTTTTTGATATAGATTAGACCGTTGGTTTTCCGGTTTGAATGGTTTCACACTAGTCATAATTATGACCCTTTATAGCTTGCTGTTCGGTGTGAGCCAAGGCTCCGTGTTGAAGACCGTACTTTGACTTATAATGGTTTACTTTTATAAATTGTGACTTGGATGGATAGTTGTCTCATTGGCACTCATACCACATCTTCTTATATCTATAGAACAATTTTATCATGTCCGTAGTTTTAAATTTAAAAAAACAGATTCAAATTTTTTAGCATTTAAAGGTTCAGAAAGTGGTCAACCTATTGGTAGCTAGCTGGACTGTGCCGGTTTTTATTGTATGTTTTACTTAAAATATGGCCTAGTTTGACAAAACCTGTATAAAAAAAAAGTCTTGTCAACTACTTTTGGTTATTCCAAAATTACATGTGTTATTCAAAGCTCTTCAACTTTGTACTTGTTTTGGCTTTCGAACTTTTTTTATCTGAGCGTCACTGATGGGTCTTTTGTACACGAAACGCGCGTCTGGCGTATTAAATTCTAGGCCTGGTACCTTTTGATAGCTATTATTTGTGTGTGTCTCTGACCTGTATGTTCTCCCATTTATTTGTATTGTAGACCTGTCATGTAATCTTGTCATTTCAATGTTATATTTAACATTGCCATAAAAGCGGGAGGTTTGGCTTGCCACAAAACCAGGTTCAACCCACCATTTTTTTCTTAAAAATGTCCTGAACCAAGTCAGGAAAATGGCAATTGTTATCGTATAGTTTGTTTCTCTGTGTGTTGCATTGTCGTTTGTTGTTTTTTCACTTCAGTGTTTCTGTTGTTTCGTTGTCCAAATGTACTATATTGTATTGTTTATTTGCGTAATTCTCTATCCGTAATGTTGTACTGTATTCATGTCATGTAATGGTGTCATTTTAGTGTTATATTCAACATTGCCATAAAAGTGCGAGGTTTGGCTAGCCACAAAACCAGGTTCAGCCCACCATTTTTTTCTTTAAATGTCCTGTACCAAGTCAGGAAAATGGCCATTGTTATATTATAGTTCGTTTTTGTGTGTGTTGCATTTAAGTGTTGTGTTTCTGTTGTGTCGTTGTTCTCCTCTTAAATTTGATGTGTTTCCCTCAGTTTTAGTTTGTAACCCGGATTTGTTTTTTCTCTATCGTATTTATGAATTTTGAATAGCGGTATACTACTGTTGCCTTTATTTACAATTTAAAATATGACTAATAATATTTAAGATTACTTGGATAAACATATATCGCATTTACATTTTATAAAGATAACCAAGCAACTTGAAAGTTTAACTTTGGCAGCCAAAAAAAATGTTGTTCGAATTATTGAACAAAAATACATCGTTGCTTTGATACGTCAAAGATATTCTTGATATTTACTTGATAGCAACACTTGTTATCACATACGCATCGTATATAAATATAATACATCTTTGTTTCATGTTCAAGTAGATTAACTGTTCGTTTAGGGGTTCTATTTTTTAGTATTGAACACTCAATTACTTCTCTTTTTCTCTTCACAATCTAAACAACGAATTATAATTAAAACCAGGAATAAAACTTATTTAACAATTTAAGTTGAAATAAATTGTGTCCATATATTGAACAGGTATCCTATATTCTCATTTCTCTATTGAATTGAACATAATGAAGTCACATTTTAATGTGTGCACTGACATATTTTTGTTTCTTTTACTATGAACAATTACACTTACAACTTACAAATCCCGTTAGCTCCATGTGCCGCATAGGGCGCTAACTATGAACAATGCAAAATAAAAATTGGTCGTTTCCATACTGATTTTTTTCAAATAGTGAAAAAAAAGTTTATTTTGCAATTTCATCATTTTAAGTTGTCTCCCTTGCATTGACAAGAAATGTGCACAATTTGACCATATATAACAAAAGCATAGTATTTGATTCAAGTTAATTGCAAGCTGTTTCTTATGTTTATCTAATAGAATACGATAAAAAAAAAGAGATTGAAATAATAATAAATTAAAAATGTTGAAAAATGGTATATAATATAGGAAACATAATATATACGAAACAACATCTGATCCAAAAATTTAATAACACTTTTAGATATTTAGATGATATATTGGCTCTCAATTATGACAACTTCAGTATGTACACTAAAGAGATTTATCCTGCCGAACTGACTTTAAATAAAGCTAATGCTAACAATGAACACTGCCCTTTCCTGGATCTTGATATCTTTATCTTTAACGGGAAGCTTAATACCAAACGTTATGATAAAAGAGATGATTTTTCATTTCCTATTGTTAATTATCCATTTTTAGATGGTGACGTTCCCTTGTCGCCATCTTATGGTGTTTGTATATCTCAACTTGTTCGATTCGCTCGTATATGTAACAACGTATTTGATTTCAACGAAAGAAATCTCTGTATTTCTGAAAAATTATTACACCAGGGTTTTCGATATCACAAACTAGTCAAAACATTTACTAAATTTTATCATCGGTACAAGGACATCATTCGTAAATATAAATCAACATGCAGACATCTTATACGTTCAGGTAGGTCACATCCAATATTTTATGGTAATATACTTTACAAAGCACAAATATGTCAGTATTCACCTCAAAAGCTAACCAAACCTTTGAACAGACTTATTCGGAAAGGATATAGATACGATACTATTGTCAAGTCATTAAGGATTGCATATTTTGGTATTAATATTGATTCACTCATAGGATTTTGGCATCGGAAATAAACAAATTTATTCTAAAACCAGTTGTTGGCATGATACGGGTTATGTTCTTCTCGTATA